TGAATAGCTTGTATAGGTAGGGGGTAGAGGATGGTGGGACATTGGAAGAAAATGGTGGTAATGACGGCAGCAGGAAAATGTCTGAAATGCAGAATATTTCAGTTGCAGCTGGGTGTCCTGGCTAATCTGTGTAGTCAGGGCTGGAACTGGAAGCCTAGAAAGAACAAACTTTTCATCCCAATAGCAATTCCCTTGGCTGCTTCCTCTGCACCTGCATGTGTTGCATTCTTCACCATTGCCTACAGAATTGTCTTTAAATTGTTTACATTTACTACACAGTGGTATGGGAGATACTGCAATTATTATTTTTTTTCTAGCATCTAAGCTCTTTGGGGTGGGGACCTCTCATTTCCTGTCTCTAAAATATACATGGGTGACACTAACGTATATAATTTCAAGCAGTAATGGTTCATAAACAGTGATTTTTTTAAATGGAGACTGCTCTACTAATCATAGGCAACCTGTCCTAATTCTTGGAAATTAATTTAGATTAATAGATTTTTAAAAATCTCAATATTACGTTCATATTTATCATAAAATGGACACCAACAGTCCCTGTTTCCTTCAATGGAGCCCCTTGCTAGTAGTCATGTTAATACAGTGGAGGAAAACTACAGCCCACAGGCCAGATCCGGCCCATCAGAGCTTTCAGTCTGCCCCTGTGGCCCCTGGGAGAGGAGGGGAAAGAGGGCTCCATGCGCTAACCTCGCCTGCAGGCACCGCCCCCTAGAGCTCCCATTGGCCAGGAATGTGGAACCGTGGCCAATAGGAGCTTTGGGGGAGGTACCCACAGGCGAGGGCAGCACGCTGTGGAGGCGCCTGCCCCACCCTACCTCCAGGAGGCACTGCTGGATATGCTGGCCACTTCCAGGAGCGGTGTGGGGCCAGGGCAGGCAGGGAGCCTGCCTTAGCCCTGCTGCGCACCACTGCCACCCTGGAACAGCTTGGGGTAAGCGGCACCAGGCCGGAGCCCACACCCCGAACACCTCCTGCACCCTGCAGCCCAACCTCCTGCCCTGAGCCCCCTAGCCACCTGCCTTGAGCCCCATGCCGCACTCCTCCTGCACCCCAATGCCCTGTCCTGAGCCCCCTGCCACACCTACACCCCAACTTCCTGCCTTGAGCCCCTCCTGCACCCCAACCCTTGCCTGGAGCCCCTCCCACATCCCCGTCCCAGCCTTACATTCATGGTCCTGCATAAAATTTCCCCACCCAGATGTGGCCCTCAGGCCAAAAATAACCCATGTTAACACCTTCTTATGCTGTGCGCCTCAGATACAGTAGAACCTCAAAGTTATGAACACCTCAGAAACCGAGGTTTTTCATAACTCTGAACAAAATGTTATGGTTGTTCTTTCAGAAGTTTGCAAGTGAACATTGACTTAAAACAGCTTTGAAACTTTGTTATGCAAAAGAAAAAAATGCTGCTTTTAACCATTTTAATTTAAATGAAACAAACACAGAAATGATTCCTTAGCTTTGTTAAATCTTTTTTTTTTAAACTCTCCCCCCCTTTTTTTAGTAGTTTATGTTTAACATAGTACTGTATTGTATTTGCTTTTATTTCGTTTTTGTCTCTGCTGTCTGATTGCATACTTCCAGTTCCAAATGAGGTGTGTGGCTGACTGGTCAGTTCGTAACTTTGGTGCTCATAACTCTGAGGTTCTACTGTACTTCTCAGAGGTAGCATGGTCCAATGAATAGGCACTGGATTAGGACTGAGGAGATCTGGATTTTATTTCCAGTTCTGCTGCTGTCCTGCTGTGTGTGCCCTTGACCAAGTCACTTCTCTGTGTCTGTTTTCCTTCCTGAGGTTTGTCTTCTCTATTGTAAATTCTTCAGGGCTAGAGATGGTCTCTCACGGTGTTTGTTCAGTGCCTAACATAACAGGGCCGCATTTTCACTTTGGGCCTCTTCTGTTACAGTACTAAATATGTTTACAGCAGTAAGTATACAACATAAGAAGAATATTCAATAACTTTCTTGCATGCTTTGCAAGTTTGCAGAAGATGTTGGCTCATGTAAAAACAAGGCATTCCAATAGCTGCTTCTGCTGATGGTTTGAATGTTCTGGGAGATCAAATTGTCCATGTCCCTCTTTTGCCTATAAGTCAATCAGACATTACTGTGTTCAGGTCTCTCTACCCTGGCCTTTTACCCTACTCTCTACTTCCCCAGCCTTGCAACTGTGACAGATATTAATCTTTTATACTTGTTCAAAATAGCATTTCCTTTTCTCCTTCCCTTAGTCCTGACTGCATGTTTTTGGACAGGGACCCAGGTGAGATCCTTTTCTGGATAATATTCTGAAAGTGCAATTACATTTAAAAAGTAGCCATGGATTTTGAGTGCCTATGGTTTTGATATGTTGGGCCTTTTTCTTAAAGATGCTGACCACTGCAAGTCCAGCTCATTTTAATGGAAATTGTGGGAGATGAGCACTTGTGAAAATCAGGCCCAAATTGTCTCAAGTGGGATAATAAAATCAGTATCTATTTCTAAAAAATGTGGACCAAGTTAGGGTGTTTTTAAGTGTTAGATTTCAAATATATTTGAGAGAATATAAACAATCTTAACTGAGAATTTCCAAACTTTTGCCCATTTAAATTGAATTCTAATGGTTCCATACAACTGTTTTTTGTAAGTGTGGAATAACTTTGCAACACTAAAAATAACAAGACTCTCCTCATAGTAACATATATGATGATGATACATTCGGGAAATAATAAAAACTGCAATATTTCATTTGCAATCTGTTTATTTTTTTTATACAGATCAGGTTTAAAGGAGAACAGGATTCCTGAAAACCTGTATGTTTTTGTTCTGACTGGTGATAGTAGCAGTTTAAACAATCACCTCAGGAGGAAATCTATTTTGAATCTTTAGGGATGCAAAGAAGTACAAACAGTTTGCTTGTTTATTTTTACACAGGAAATTACCAGTTTACAGGATGATATTGAATATCGAGAACCCAAACTGCTGGATAATTTTCCATTTCATTGAGGATATACAAAAATATAACATTGCTTTTTCAGCCCATAATCCTGCCTGAAAACAATCCCAAAATTTTGCAAAGGTATAAAGTCAGACAAAAAAAGGTGACATACTAGCTAAAAGAGAGGAGCTGGGGAGAATAGCACCTTAAATTAATATACCAATCTGCAATAATCACAGCTGAGGTTTTATTGACATGATCAAATGTTTCTCCAATATATTAAAATGTATATATACATTTCTGGCAATGTTTTTAGCAGCAAACTTTTGGCACTGAATATGGGGAATTTGCAGTCTCACTTCCTATAATACAATACTGGAGGGTGCCGTGCTCTGACAATTGTATTCCCTCAAGTGTGATAGGGTTGCAGAACATAGATCATGGTACTACAAGGAATACAAGACAGGCTCTATTAGAGTTGCTACCTACACAAAATGACACTTTCCCTTCAGGCTGAACATGTTAAGAAGACCAGCACAGTAAGTTATTGAATACTGTGCTATCTGCCCTTCATTTGTTATACAACCCAGGAGCTTAATTAATCTTCATCAAATTTTCACTGCAGGCTTTAAACATTCCCTCCAAAATCTACCAAGACTTTGTTAATATTTTTAGCCTCATGTTGCTTAAGGTTTTTCAGTTGCCTGCTGGTTAAGGATTTTCTGTTGTCTGTATTTCCTAAGAGCAGGTGACAGCAACCTTTACCCCAGTTTACAAAGCTTAGTTGGGATACTTTTATTGTGTTGAAGTACTTATTTTATGATGGGTTAGCAGAAGATTGGAATAATTACTGGTCTAATGTATATGGCATTCACAATATATCAGTATATTTTAGCACTAATATAGCTAGTCAGATTAAGGATCAAATTTTGCAGTCATTTGTGAAAACAAACACCATTAACTTCATACCCACTTAACTGAGAACTGAATTTGGGCCAGAATTACCCACCTGCAACTCCGCACCTACAAATTTGTAGGGCTCTTCTCTCCCACAAGCTGTGATACACATATAATAAAAATTGATCCCTGACCCAAAGAGTTCATGCTCTTGAAACAACCCTGAAAATAAACACTGAGAAGTCACTGGGGAGGGAGAGGGAGGAATCAAATAGGCATTCAATATGTATGTCTCGTCTCATTTAGTCCAAAACCCAGCATTTAATGACTATTTTCAGCTGGAATGTAGTAGTTGAAGGGTAGGGTTCAATACTGCCAACACTAAGGGTATGTCTATACAGCCTGGGTAAACAGACTCAGGTTTGTGGGGCTCATACTCTAAAAATAGGTATGTAGACAGCACTTTGAAGTTGTGATTCAGGCTCTGATGACTGAGGGTGGGGGTGGGATGTCAGGACTGCAGTCTCTGGACTGCAGCTTCAAAGCACTGTCTACACAGCTGTTTTTAGAGCACTAATGTGAGCCCTGCAAAACCGAGTTTCTTGATCTGGGCTGGGAGGCTTGCTGCTGTGGGCTGTATGGATGTACCCAAAATGCTCAAAAATCATTCGATTGGGTTAAAATAATGAGGTTTAAAAAAAAAAACCACACTGGGTTCTTTTTATTTGCTATGAGGGTGTGCTCAATTCACATTTCACGGTTGTGGAGAAAAGCTTGAAAGACTGAAACTTATTTTTTGAAAAGGAAAGCTGAGATTCTCATGAAAACACAAGACTCCTGGAGTTGGGGCTTTAAGAATAACATCTAATATTGTGAGACTTTTGTGAAAAATTGTAAAAGTTGCCAACATTGAGGGTAATTTATTGGGGAAATTTGTTATTTGTATTCCGATAGTTCCTAGGGGCCTCAGTCATGATCAGAACCCCATTGAGCTAGGTACTGTACAAACACAGAACAAAAAGACAGTCCCTACCCCAAAGAGCATAAATGTGAGCAGTTATTCTAATGAGAATCACATTCAGTTTTGGTGCAAAGGTTATTTAAAAGATTGGGTTGGTTAGTTGTTTTTGCACTAGAAGTTGACATCTTTCCCTTCCCCTTCCTTTAGACACCCGTATCAGTAGAAAAGAACTGCCTCAAGAGACAAATCCACTTTCCAGAGGTACTTGATTCCTTTTCATTACCCTCATATTATCTCTCAGTTCATTAACCTGAGTTATGTAAACAGTTCTAAACATTGATACGATGGTCTAGCCTGATATGGAATATAAATATAACTTGGGACTGGAGAGGGTGGAGAACATAAAATCTTACCGAGTCATAGGCGGTCAGATTGGTGTGTTATAGTAACTGACAATGGTGACCACGGAACAGCAATACCAAGGGTTCTGCTCACTATTTCATCATGAATACAGCTGGTTGAAGTGTCCAAACTGAACAATTTATTCCACGGATCAGCCCCTTTTCCCCCTGTTTATGAACTGCCGAAACAAACAGTGTGTTTTTCTGAATTAATTAATTTACGTTTGTTCAATTCCAAATGGAGATGTCAGTGGAGTTTCACCACTGATCAGCTGAGGATCTGGCTCTTTATGTGAACAAATGGACTATGGATTGCTAGTGAATGGCTTATCACAAGTATTCATTTGCCATTCACTGTACAAGCTGTGTGATTGCTCACCAAAATCACATGATATTGTAATATAGCCTCAGTGCAGCTCTAACCTGCACTGGCTGCCACTAGCCGCTAGGGATGCCCTGGGCATATCCCCTGTGCCTGGTAGATGGACCGGGTGACATTAGAGATGCTCCTTCAAATAGGACACATAACCTCCCTTCAAGATTGTGAGGACTAGTGTGAATAGATAGAGGCTGGCAGCAGATGGCCAGTGAATTATCTGTGATACTGCATCAGACAGATATGGGATGGGCGGGGGGGCTGCTGGATAAGGAAACAATATTATGTTGCTTTGGGAAGCTATCACCTGCATTCTGAACAAAGATTTATTCTCTCATTTATAAAAATGATACTGGCAGAGTGTTTGAGGACTTTTCCATTCAATTGTAACAGGATTTGATTCTTCATCTGAATAGCCTACAATGAAATCCTTACTATCAGCAACAAAAATCACACTGAGAAAGGACTTGTCTGCTGAGATAGTTAAGGTACAACATGAGTTCAAAGAAAAGGTAGGCAACGTTAAGGGGAGAATAATGAAGGGGAATTTTCTCTACTTGATGCAGGGGATTAGACAAGAGATGTCCCTGTCATTAAAAATTCTGATCCTATATTAATTTTGATTGCTGAGTGGCTAGTGGGAAAGAGAAGGATGTGAAAAAGGAACAAGCAGAGGATGCAGGGATTAAAAAGAGGAGAGGGAGAGCAAAAGGATGGGAGAGATGAGAAAGAAAAGGCATGGGAAAAATATAGGTCTTTCAAGGTGCTTATGTTTCCCAAAGCTACCTCTTTTCACCTGTACACTGAACTGGGGTCTCGTCATTATGGATGGTGCTGGCTGACTGCTCTTTGACCTGAGTTAATGGTACCCAGCAATTTGCACTAGGTACTTGGCACTGAAGTCAATGGACCTATGCCAATTGACAAAGCGTTGACTGACGAGTTGGCCCAAGAATTCCAAAATATCAATTTATCAATTTATTTAAATTATTGCAAGAGAGATTATTGCAAAGAGAAAGTGTGCTCTGCAAATGTATAGCAACAAAATAAGATCTTTAACAGAGTATTCTCAGAGGCATTGCCAAGATAGCACATATCTTGCCAGACATCACAAAATTCAACCAGGTCATGGTTGTTTGCATGATGTATTCAAGTCTCATTCCATTGTTTAGTATAGCTTAAATTTTATGGGCTGTAGCAAAATTGCATGTCACCCAATGGGCAAATAAACACATCTCCATTGTACTATATAGTAGCAAAGCAAGAGACTGAAGCTAAACATAAGCAATCCAGGAGGTAAACCTCTATCCTGTTGAATGTTAAAAATATGCAGTGTCTAAAAAATGGGATTACTTTACCATATGTCAATATCCATAATGCATTAAATCCTTTAGGGAAAACAAACAAGAGACTATCCCACAGGTATGGATGCAAATACATTTAGAAATCCCTCTTAGAAGAAGCAACCCTTTGAATCATCCCCTTATTCTACCCCAGTGCCCCTTTAATCCTCCCGACTGGGGAAAATGGCATTTTCCCCTGGCTTTAATAACACAATGAATTCAGAATAGATGGCACACATGGGCCTTGGTTTTCAAAGTCCTTGCTCCTTTTTATCCTCCGGTCCATTTTGCATTCATTAGTGTCTTGCATTTGTTTTGCCCATATTTATTTTATCTTAAATACCCCAAACCTGGCAAGACAGAACAGCGAAACCAGGCCAATTTAAGGAGATTTCTCTGTGTCCGATGCATTTGAAATTGCAGCATTTCATAAATACTGAGGATTGCTTATGAGCTACTGCCTCTAGTACATGGTTTTTACGTATTGGGTGTGCCAAGACCTATAGACGGCATGCAGTTGGTGGCAAGGAGACAGTTAACAAGCAGAGTAGAGCAGACAGCTGTGGTAGCTTGCCCTATTGCAGGGATTGTCAGGGAGCGGAGCCCTGTGGGAAATGTGGCTAGGCTCATCTGCAGGTAATTACTGCACCAGTAAAAAGAGCAAGCTAAAAAAACTCACTCACTCAAGACTAGGCAGACATAGGAGGCCAGACTGAGTATAAGATGGGAAGGAAGCTTGGTTGTGAGAGGGCCTTCCATTTTAATTTAGGATCTACAGCTTCTCCTCCAATTGACCTCAGCCTCTTGTCCTTTCTCTCTTTAAGGCAGCCTCCCAATTTTCAAAAATATTTGGCTAACACATACGTGAGCTTTTCCTAGGGTCTGTGAGTAACAAGGCAGGGCTCCCTCTAGTTGGGAGAAAACCTGCAACACAGGGCCACGTTATAGGGATGAGGTGTAAAAGTAGAGTATTTGAAATGACCTAGACTCTGCTGCTTTTTGGCTGTCAATGTCCTTCTTGCAGTGGTGGTAGCTACCAGGTTTAAGTTTTACGCAGGAGAGGGAATTACATTTGTGCTTCAGTGACGTGAGTGATATCTATGTAACGATGCCTTTAGCTGAGTCACCTTTGGGAATGGAACTGGGGACCTCTCGGCACAAAAGCCTCTCCATAAGCCTCTCTTCATGCCATCCGATAGAGAGGCTTCTCCAGGGGTGGTGGAACTGGGGTCTAATGCCCCCACAATGGAAACATTGTAGGGGCTGATCTGTGTTTCCTCCCCAAAGCAAGCTTCTGCCTCCTCTGGGCTTCTCCCAAGATAGACACCAGGGAGGTAGCCCCTCCACTTACTACCAGGAGCACTCTGACATAAAAAGTTGGGATGCTCCACTGTAGTATCCACTCCCTGTTGCACTCAGATGTAATCTACAGAGTGGTATGACACGACCACAGGAAACCTGGGTTATGTGTATAAGATACTCTTGTCCCATAAAAACCCACCTAGATTTAGAAAAGAAATAAGTGTCAGTACATTTTGGGTTTCTTTTTTTTCATATTATCAAAATTGTATTGTTCTGGACAGGAATCAAATTGAGGGGGGAAAAAAGGTAGAGGTATTCTTTTAAGTTTCCCCTTCAAGTACTTTTCCTCACTTGAGTGGTCAAAATAAGATGCCATTCCAAGTAGATGGTGCAGATACTCTAATCTGGAGGGAGGTGCCAGTATGCCACACCACCAAATCCTCCTTCTAGTCTGAGCCTTGTTTTGCATCAGTTACTTTGCATAGATGATTACAAACTGCTCCTGTTTAACATAAAGAGAAAGGTGCAATATTTGCAGGTGATTAGACAGACAAGAGCATTGATATGGCTTCCTTTATTACAGTGCATCAGCCTGAATAACCACTCAGCAGGATATTTAACTGTGGGTGTTCAGATCCCCAAGATAGATGCCAGTCTGACAATGATGAGATAAAGCAGGTAAGGTAATATCTTTTACTGGGCCAACTGCTATTAGTGTGAGAGACAAGCTTTCAAGTCACACAGGAACTACACACCTGTGGCTGCCCTGTGCCAGCCAATTAGGGCTGTGGGGCTGGTTCATTGTTGTATAGACTTCCAGACTCGGGATGGAGCCTGGGCTCTACCAGCCTGTGAGGTGGAATGAATTTTGAAAGAGAAAATTGTTGAGGACATAGAAGTAAATGGTAATTGGGATAAAATACAACATGGTGCCAGACCAAACTAATCTCCTTTGAGAAAATAATTGATTTTTTTTAGAGATCGGAAATGCCTTACTGAAATTGAGGTAGATTGTATCTACTGCATTTGATACAGTTCCACATGGGAAATTATTAGTTAAAATTGGAGAATATGGGGATTAGTATGAGAATTGAAAAGTGGATATGGCACTTGTTAAACGAGAGACTACAATTGGTTCCACTGAAAGGTGAACTGACAAGCTGGAGGAAGGTTACTAGTGGAGTTCCTCAGGGATTGGTGTTGGGACCTATTTTATTGAACATTTTTATTATTGACCTTGGCACAAAAATGTGGAGTTTGTTAATAAAATTTGCAGATGACAGAAATTTGGGAGGTATAGCCACTGTCAAGTTTCCTTCCCCACTCTGAACTCTAGGGTATAGATGTGGGGACCTGCATGAAAACCCCCTAAGCTTATTTTTACCAGTTTAGGTTAAAACTTCCCCAAGGTACAAACTATTTTACCTTTTGCCCTTGGACTTTATTGCTGCCACCACCAAGCGTCTAACAGATATATAACAGGGAAAGAGCCCGCTTGGAAACGTCTTTCCCCCCAAAATCCTCCCCAAACCCTACACTCCTTTTCCAGGGGAAGGCTTGATAAAAATCCTCACCAATTTGCATAGGTGAACACAGACCCAAACCCTTGGATCTTAAGAACAATGAAAAAGCAATCAGGTTCATAAAAGAAGAATTTTAATTGAAGAAAAAAAGTAAAAGAATCACCTCTGTAAAATCAGGATGGTAAATACCTTACAGGGGTAATCAGATTCAAAACATAGCGAATCCCTCTAGGCAAAGCCTTAAGTTACAAAAAGACACAAAAACAGGAATATCCATTCCATTCAGCACAGCTATTTTATCAGCCATTTAAACAAACAGAATCTAATGCATATCTAGCTAGATTACTTACTAAGTTCTAAGACTCCATTCCTTTTCTGTTCCCAGCAAAAGCATCACACAGACAGAGAGAACCCTTTGTTCCCCACCCCCCCAGCTTTGAAAGTATCTTGTCTCCTCATTGGTCATTTTGGTCAGGTGCCAGCAGCATGTCTTAGCTTCTTAAGCCTTTACAGGTGAAAGGGTTTTTCCTCTGGCCAGGAGGGATTTAAAGGTGTTTACCCTTCCCTTTATATTTATGGCAGCCACTATGGAGGAGGACCAGAATATCATACAAGAAGATCTGGATGACCTTGAAAACTGGAGAAATAGAAATGGGATGAAATTTAACAGTGCAAAGTACGAGGTCACGCAGTTAGAGACTAACAGCAAGAATTTTTGCTATAAGGTGGGGACTTATCAGTTGGAAGCAACAGATGAAGAGAAAGACCTAGAGTATTCGTTGATCACAGGATGACTTGGTTTGAGGATTTCAGTAACTCTGCCAGAGGTTAGGGGTCTATTTCAGGAGTGGGTGAGGTTCTGTGGCTTGCAATGTGCAGGAGGTCAGACCAGATGATCATGATTATCCCTTCTGACATTAAAGTCTATAAGACTATGAGCCACCTATGTGATGTGAAGACTGTGAAAAAGGCGAATGGAATCCTAGGATGCATCAGGTGAGACAGGGAAGTGTTAGTACCATTATACAAGGCATTGGTTGGACCTCATCTGGAATAATGTGTGCAATTCTTTAAATTCTGGTCCCCCATGTTTAAGAAAGATAAATTCAAACTGGAGCAGGTGCAGAAAAGGACTACTAGGATGATCAGGGGAATGATCAGAAGAGACTCAAAGAGCTTGGCTTGTTTAGCCTAACCAAAAGAAGGCTGAGGGGAGATATGATTGCTCTGTATAAATACATTAGAAGGATAAACCAGGGAGGGAGAGGAGTTATTTAAGTTAAGCGCCAATGTTGACACAAGAATAAATGGATATAAACTGGCCATCGATAAGTTTAGGCTTGTAATTAGGTGAAGGTTTCTAACCATAACAAGAATAAAGTTCTGGAGCAGCCTTCTAAGGGGAGCAGTGGAGGCAAAAAACCTAACTGGCTTCAAGACTGAGCTTGGTATGTTTATGGAGGGGATGGTATGATCAGACTGCCTACAATGTCATGTAGTTGATCTGCGACTGCTAGCAGCAAATATCTCCAATGGCTGGTGATGGGACACTAGATGAAGAGGGCTCTGAGTTACTACAGAGAATTCTTTCCCAGGTGTGTGGCTGTTGGGTCTTGCCCACATGCTCACGGTCTAATTGATGGCCACATCTGGGGTCAGGAAGGAATTTTCCCCTAGGTCAGATTGGTAGAGACCCTGGAGGCTTTTCACCTTCCTTTGCAGCATGGGTCATAAGTCACTTGCAGGTTTAAACTAGTGTAAATGGTGGATACTCTGTAACTTGAAGTCTTTAAATCATGATTTGAAGATTTCAGTAACTCATCCAGAGGTTAGGAATCTATTACAGGAGTGGGTGTGCAAGATTTTGTGGCCCACAATGTGCAGGAGATCAGCTTGATGATTATGATGGTCCCCTCTGGCATTACAGTCTGAGGCTATGAATACTTCATATTTATCTATTTTGGAAATTCCTACTTTCCTTTACCCTCAAGCCCAGACAATGAAATCAGGAGATTAAGTTGGATGATTATAAAAACGTTTATAATTTATCTCTGCTGAAACAGAGAATGTGTTTAAAAAAAACAAAACAAAACAAAAAAAAGAGTGAATGTACACCGGAATGCTGCAGTCTGAGGGGCATACAAGCACGTTAATCATCGTCTCACAGAAATGTGCACAAACAAGAATTAATACAATTAATCACTAATAGATCATGCAGCTGTGAAAGTTAAATAATAAGGAAGAAGAGGAAGGGTGCTCTAGGGACCAAAAATACAATCTAATTAAGTTTGTGATATATATATGGCATGGGGCCTTATCTAAAACATATTAAAGTTCATGGAAAGTCTCCCATTGGCTTTAATGAGCTTTTGGATTAGTCCTATGATTATTTCTCCCTGCTCTTGCCTCCCCCACCCCAGTATTATATACTCCATAAAAGGTTTTTGGTCTTCACCTTCGACTTGTCAACTTGTAACTACCAGCCCTTCTATCATCTTCTCAGTGACCTCAGGCTGACAACATTCACATGTTTTTCCCAAAGGCTATGGCAACTTTTATTCAGGTTCTTCAGCTTCAATTTTCCATCTCACACACTTCCTCCCGGATACAGACTTCAGCTACCTATAGGATGGACAGACATCATAAACAGGACAGGATTGCTTTCAGAAAAATTCCTGCCTACAGCACTACTTTCTCATCCTTTCTGGGAAGTGCTTGGATTTTCCATATCACGCTCTTTCCTGTCTGGTGTGTGACCTTCCTTTTCCCGGTTTAGTCCTTTTTGTTTTTTAAAAAGCAAAATAGCAAGCCCCCATGACATCTCATTTTAATGATGGTTTTATCCTGCTAGACTTGTGTTAATGTACGTTGTTGTTACAGGGAAAGGGTCAGGGGGAAGTGATGAGAACTCGGTAAGGACAAAACACAAATGTTCTTGGTTACAAGAATAAACATGACTTAACTCTCCTATAAACCCCAATTTTGCTGAAGAGACCTTCTACAATCCAATAGTCACACTAGTAAGGAGCTGAAACCCTGAAATCTTTCTCATAAAAATTGACTTAAAAATGTAGAGAAGTCAAGATATGGGATTAAGTGAAAGGTGTGGAATGGAATGCCTACAGTGACTTTTAAAAAAACCCATTATTGACACACATGAACTTTCTACACCAAATCTTTTTCATAACCTGTATTTTTATCTTTAAAAGACATACTTGTGTTTGGTTAACCTCTTATCATTAACTTTGTATTTATTTTGTGCAAATTCCAAAATTGGTAACCACAGATTATGAAATGTACTTGATGCTAATATAAAGCTCTCTCATTTTTCCATTGAAAGGATTTCTCATACTTTATTTCTCCATGACATTCATTGTAGGAGGATCTGTCCTTTTCCAAAAACAAGCTGTAGCATATCTGGCTGCAACTAGTAATTGTGTTTGCCTGTGGCATCCTTCTCTGAGTCAAAGGCCTCCTTTGGGCTGTAACCTGGTAGAATACTATGGGTTCTCTGGGTAGCCTAACATGAAATGGGTTGACGAGGAGCCTCTGAGCACATGTACATTTAAAACACAACCATAAAAGTATCAAAAATAAACTTTTCTCATACTCATCATAGAAACATAGACTCATCATCCTTATCTATCACCCACCTTCAGGCAAAAATCTGATTAAATACCTAAGTCTCAAAGTTAGTCTCATAGTAATTTTTTAAAAATACTTTTAGATAGAAAAATGATTTTTTGACTAAACTGAAAATTTTTCAAAAGTTTTCCATCTTTGTTAAAAAAACAGAAACCGAAAACTCTTCAGTAAATATTTTTGGTATTTTTATAATCTTTTGCTTTTGTTTCTGATTTAAAAAAACCTTGGCTTTCGGTTTTCAGATTGTTTTGTTTTTTTATTAGATTTTTCAGAACAAAAAATTTCATGGGAATTTTTTTTAATGAAGATATTCAAAAATTCCCCATGGGAAAAATAGTTGCCATTTTTTTGACTAGATTGTCCTGTTCTTGAAGGTCAACTAACCTAGTTTGCCAAACCAAAAAGAGAAGCAAATTCCAGATCTGAGGGACAGTCCATAGAGTAAGTCCTGCTCCCAGTCCTCTAGAATTCAAATCCAATGGCTATTAGTGGAAATGTCCAAATGGCTTC